AAACGTTGGGGGAGATGAGGTGAACAAGCCAATCATCTGCCCATTTTCTCCACTTCATCTCTTCTCTGCAAGAAAGAAATTTTTCAGTGAGTGAGGTACAGACTGCAGGGCTACAGGAGGCAGGATCACAGTGGCATTAGCCACAGATCCTGCCAAGGACAAATGTGTCAGTAACTCCCGGCCAGCCTGGTGCTCTGGTGACCTCTCTGAAATGCACTCAGCATCGTTACCTTTGGCAAGGCTCCTTCAATCTCAAACTAAATTTAAGACTAAGATAGAGCACTAGATTCTCCTCCCAATACAAGAAGTAAAGGGAAACTATCCTTCCATAGCATTCCCTTGTGCCATAAAGGAAAGGCCAAAAAGAAAACTGTAAGCAGCTGAAGGCCAATGTGACCATGGTGGTGGTGAATAGGCCATCTAACAGCACTGTTTCAAATTATCTAACAAACACACAAAACCACTCCAGCTACTGAGGCTTTAATGGGGGTGTGACACATCTTGTCAGCCCCAGTGGGATCTACACCATCCCTGAGTACATATGGAGGGGGCTGTGACCCTACTTGGAGAGCCCAGAAACTTAAGAGCACTTACACTCTCACTTCTTTGATGGGATAAACTCGCTTTGTCTCCTTCTCATCCAGCATGAGCCAGTATTTATTCTCATACTCCATCACCTCCTTGCCTTTCTCAGTCACGGTTTTAACAGGAGGATAAAAGGACACGATTTCTTCCAAGCTATTCCTTCTGTGGATAGAAATACAGTTAGCACTGTAAGAGTGCTAAGGAGTAAGAGCAAAGGACAGATTGAAAGTTACACATTACAAAATGTATTATTCTAAAAATAAGTGCACAAGGTTCCAGATTCTACTTGAAAAAAGGTTTTGAAAAGAGACTGGAACAGTTTCTTGCAAATAACTATTATTAGTGAATATACTTTTGTGTCAGAACAGAAATTTTTGCAGGCATAGAGCTTCCTACAATTCTCAAGTGGACCTAAAAGACAGGCCACAGACACAGCAATTCCATTTCATTTTAGATATAATAACTGGCTAATTGTAAGCTCAGTTCCAGAACTAACACTAGTCCATATTTAAGTAGGTTTTGTGCAAACTGAATATCACAGGTGAAAAAGTATTTCTGAAAGGCTTTGCTTTACAGTACACACAACACAACATATACAGGCACCATCCACTTTATCACAGCCAGGATCAGGTCAGCTGGGCCAAACACCCAGAGCTTCAGAGCTCAAGGTCAGTAAGAGACTTATGGCTTTAGTTTTCTAAATCTCTAGTTCACCAAGGCCCTTCAGGCTGAACTCATCTCTCATCACCCTGTTTTCCTACCTGGAAATAAGATAGGTCTTTATTGCACTGATGATAACCGAGGAGTCGTTCAATTGCTGAAAAACAAAATGAAAACAACCTTTTAAAAGAAGCTGGTGAAATGGAAAAGGAAATTCTTCACAACCTTTTCCCATGTATGCTGAGGCTCCTAGTTAGTACTGCAGGGCCTTTCCCCCCAACACATTTCCACAGGAGTCCCTGCATATCTCAAGACATCTCTTCTGTGATTGTTTCAGAATATCACTTCAAATCTGGCTTTAATTCTGACCACAGAGGGCCTCAGGGCTGGGCACACATGTAGTACTAGTGGGGTTTGGATTTAGGCTCTTGGCAGGAAGGGAAAAAAGCAACACTAACACTAAAAAAAAGCCAAACTGATTCTTCAGTATTCTTGAGATCTTGTTCTTTTCCCACAAGATACAAGCAGTTTATGTTACGTCTGGTACAAAGATATGTCCTGCAGAAGGGTTGGAAGGGTTGACAGAAGCCAGATTAGAGTCACCACACAAACTAAATGCCTTGTAAGACAGACCAACAAAATAATAAGGCCAAGTAAAAGGAAAACAAGAAGCAAGAAATAAATCTTTGGCTCTTGAGAGGATAAAAGATGATCTAAAGATTACACTACACACGATAAATCACAGAGACATAACAGCCTTCAAACTACTGCTTGGGGGAAAACCAAGCTTTCAAGACAGGAAGACTTACCAGAGGGCTCCCAGCGTTGGCTAGCAGGATGGGCACCTTTCTGTAGGAAGAGAATTTGATCTCTTTCCTCATTATTGGGTTCACTTCCACAATTTCATAGGGCAGTCCATGATAATCGAGAAAAGCTCGGACTTTGCTGCAGAAGGGACACGTTTTATACTGGTAGAGAGTGAGCTGCAGGCTCCCTGAAGGCAGCTGGGGAAGAAAGGGACAAGACAGTTCCATTTTCTACCAAAAATATATTACCTTCCTTCCACCCTTATTTTTGTCATGAAGTCACAGCCACTAACATTCAGTTTCAATATATGATCATCAGAGTAGCTTGGCTATCAGATGCTTTCTTTAAATGGCATTGCAAATAATCACTACCCATTAGGAGCAAATAACTATTTCTCTAAACATCCATTTAACCTGCTGTAAACTCCTACTCACAGCCAGAAAAAACAGAAGTTAAATCCAGACAGTTTATCTCTCTGAAGTTTCTAATCTGTAGAAAAGAATTCTATAGAAAAAACCTCAACCATTTATAACAAGATTTAAATAAATACAAAGAAAGCCTTTACAAACCAATCCTTCTCCCACAACACCCTCTGTTGAGGCCACAGGGTGGGGAGGGCAGAGTTTGCTGTTGATTTTAAGCACGTGTCTGCCCAAGCTCAGGCTCCCAGGATTAACCAACAACTGGGACAAGGCAGGGAGAGCCCAGGACAGCGGGACATCACCTGAGGGATGTTTCCCAAGGCTGCTACACCTCAGCAACCTGCCAGGCCGTGCCAGTCATTCCTCACACATTATAAAACAAGTGCGGCCACCCCGCTTTGCACCTCATCTACAATTTATCAGGTTACACAACCCTTCGCGCTGCGAAAAAGCAACAAGAGACAAAGCTGCTGCACATCCCCAGGAGGCCCTCACTGACAGCCTCTCCTACAGCTCAAGGAATGCGCTGCCGGGGCCTCCCTTACACAATTTTAAGCTCTTTCCTCACTCAAACTAGGATGAACCGCTACGGCCCTCTCTGAACCGCTGTCCCCAGAGGATCCCGCAGGGCTCGGGGTGGGTTCAGCGGAGCCGGCTCCGGCGTTACCTCAGCGGCCGAGTGCTCCCGCAGGCGCTGCCGCGCCGCCAGGCAGAGCCCGGCGCCGCCGCCCAGCGCGAAGGCAGCGCCCAGCACCAGCCGCCCGCTGCCACCTCCTCGTCCCGCCGCGGTGCCGAAGGCTCGTCCGGGGCCCCGCAGCCGCCAGGCCGGCGGCAGCAGCAGCGCTCCGGCCCGCCAGGCACGGCCGGCACCCGCCATCTTCGCCTGAGGGCGGGCGCAGAGCGACCGCCCCGCCCCGGCCATGGCGGTGCCGCCCTCGGTGTGGCGGCCCCGGCCCCGGCCATGGCCGGGGCCCGATGGAACCGCGGCCTGCTGAGGGGACACCGCACACAGAGACACTCCACACGGGACACTTCACACAGGGACACCCCACACGGGACATCCCACACGGGATACCCCACACAGGGACACCCCACAGGGGACACCCCACACGGGGACACCACATATAGGTCACCCCACAGGAGGACACCCCTCACGGGACACCCCACACGGCCCCGTACTCCCGCAATTATCACATCTGATAATGCACCAAAGCCTAAAGTGAAAATAATTAGTGGAAAGGCTGAGGGAGTTGTGTCTGTTCAGCCTTAAGAAGAGACCACATTAATGTGTATAAATATCTAAAGAGGCGCGCCGAGAAGGTGGACAGGGTTCTGCTCTGTGCCAACCACAAGGACAAGGCAAGAAGCAGAAAGTGATGCACAGAAAAATACCACCTGAACATGAGGAAAAATTTTACTGTGCAGTGACAGGGCACTGGAACAGGGACCAGAGAGGGTGTGGAGTCTCCATCACTGGAGATATTCCAGACTTGTGTGTCCTGTGCTGTGTGCTCTGGGATGACCCTGCTTGGGCAGGGAGGTGGACCAAGTGACCCACTGTGGTCCCTTCCAACCTGACCCAGGCTATAATTCTCTGGGAGCACGTCCTACCCGGTGGGGGCTGCAGCTTCTGACTGGCACACACGTACAGTGTGAGTGCACACCCCCGGAAAATCATCTGTTTTATTAACAGTGGTTATGTCCGTTAATTACACTAATATTCAATTCTTGAGGTGTGACACAGGCCCGACAGCAGCGCAGCAGGGTTACCCCACAGAAAGGAGAGGTGGCTGTGATGTTAAATGAGAACACGATCTTTTCTTTTGTCTTTGTCCCAAATACCCACTTAATAATGGAGCCCTTGATCTCAGAAGCTCTGCTCGAATCAATCCTCTAATTGCAGGTTATTTTCATCCCAGTGACATCTCTCCCGGGGATGAAAACACCACGCAGCCATGAGATCTCAAGCTGACTGAGGTGCAGCTGATTCTGGGCCAAAGACAGGCAAGGGCAAAGCGAACTGTGCTTGTTCCTTCAGGGAAGAGCATCCTGAAGGTGACCTGGGCGTGGTTCAAGCTGCTCAGCGGGTGAAGCAGCAAAGCCGTCGCTTTGCTGCCCCAGTACCCGCAGGATGGTCCCGCACGGGCTGAGTGCAGGTCTATCCATAGAGCATCCCTGGGATCTCCCATCTCTATGGGATCCATAGAGCGTCCTGGGAAACAAATGCTGGGTGCTGACGGCGGCCTCTAAGTGGGGAAACCTGCGGAGGGCTGAAGACATCGGGGGAGGGATAAAGAGACAACCTAGCACTAGGATTTTTGGGGAAAATCCCCGAGGAAAGTGGGGCGCGGCGCCGCGCCCCTGGGCCACCCCGCTGCCCAGCGCTGCTCTCCACGCCCGCCCGCGCACCTCCCTCCCCGCGCCCAAAGCCGCTAACCATAGGCTTTACCGCGGCGCCGGACGGCGTCACGCGCGCGGCGCCGCGCCCTCCCATTGGCCGTGGGCCCTGCGCGCGCACGGGGCGCGCCGTGCGGGCGGCGGCGAGGCGCGGGCGCGGGCGCGGCGGGATGGCGGGGCCCAACGGGGACCCGCACGTGGTGGGCGGCGGCCCCGGCGACGACGACGACGGGGACGGCGGTGACACCTTCGGGGAGGAAGGTGCGTGGGGGCGAGCGGGGCCGCCGCCACAGTGGGGAGCCCCAGCGGGGCACGGTCTGGCCTGGGCTGGCCCCGTGGGCTGCGGGTGGCAGAGCACAGGTGCGCCCAGGTGTGTCCAGATGTGTCCAGGTGTGTCCAGGTATGCCCAGGTGTCCTGCTGGCAGCGGTGCCCGACGCCCTAGGTGTGCCTGCTGCACAGCAGTGAGGGCTGCAGGGTTTGATTCTTGCCCAGCCGTGGGGCCCCGACCTCTTCCGTGCTGCCCCTGGGGTGGTTGGTTTTTTTTCTTGTGAAAAGGTGATTCTGTGCCTTTGCTGCTGCACGGGGTGCGGGCGCTCAAGGAGAAAGAGGATGTTCAGGTTGTGAGAGCACAGGGCAGGTCCCGTGGGCAGATCTGGGAGAAGTAGTCATGCGTGGAAAAGGGAATTTAATGCAGATAGCTTGGTAAATTCCACTTCGGAGCGTTTCTACAGTGCCTGAGTCTGAAATTTCTGATGCTGTCCTGTCCAGTTAAAACCAGCTGATGGAGGAAGTTGGAGGACAGCAGAGCTGTAATGCAGACATAGAGGTCACTCTTAAAACTGGAACTCTTTCAGAGTAAGCACTTTGCTACTCTTCTCTTGAAGGTGGTGAAGAGTTGGATTCTGCTGTTTCCTGTAACACGGTTCAGTTTCCAGATGTGACCCACACAGGTGGATTTCAGAGTTCTCTGGGATCCACCTGCAGTGACAGAAGGATCATTTCTGCCCTGAAACACCCCAAGAGTGGTCACTGCTTTGCATCATCAGAGTGATTTACATTTCACACTTTCTGCAGAGCTCAGAGACATGTTGGCTGTGACTGAGAAAGTCACTAAATCGGATCTACATCAAGTTTAATTAGGTTGTTCAGTTTGTGATCAGCTGATTTGTGTGCAGTAGCTGGTCATAGAGGGCTGCAGCTATTTCCTGGTCCTGGAGCTGAAGCTGTGGATCACTTCCTTGATCTCAAATAGAAACCTTATTTTTGTCAGCTGTCCTTGTAAGAAGGCAGAGGAATTAATGCAATTGCCATACCCCAGTCAGTGTTTTCATTAGGGAATGTGGTTGTTTCCACAAAAATCCACCAAGTATGCAACAAATGGAAGACAGTCTTTTTACAGCTTATTTTTAAATGGTTAAAAAGTTTTTTCACTTTCCAAAGCTGCACAAATTATATGGCCTTGGCTTGAGCTTTAGGCACTGAGAAAATTAGGCTCCTGCTGTGATTACAGACTTCTTGCCAGGCTGATGAATATCACTTGTCACAAGTAGCTACTGTGTCTGCTTGGGATGTGCTCACTATTTCACTGCAACATGGTGCATCACATTGAAGTAGAGCTCTGACTCGTGGACATTCTCACATACCTTGAAACAGGGTCTGAAAAATAATGCTACTTGCCACCTTTTTAGAAAGTCTGTGTTTGTGGGATCAGTTTGGAAATGCAAGGCCAAACTTTTATAAACAAGCTCAAATGCAACACACACAATTACCCAAAGAATTAAGGCTGTAACACTGAACAGCTTCAAAGTGGTGTAAGAAAAGGAGGACAATTATTTTTTTATAATGAAACTTTTCCTTAGCTATTAATATTGCAAATGACTGCAATGTTTAAATATTCACAGTTCTTTTAGAGCTGCTGGGAATGGCAGGTCCTGGGTCTGGTGTGCTGGGGCACCAGGGAACTTTTAATCAGTAGGTAAAAATAGAAGTAATAATTTTCCTCTACAACTTCAGCTACCCACATGAATTCAGTCCCCAATAGAATGAAAAAAAAAAAATTACTCCATCAAAACTTCTTCTGAAAATGCCCATCAATACCTGATGCAATAAATACAAATATAAAAGGTACCAGCCTAACATGACAAACGAAAAATGAAGGGCAGAAATCAACAGTTTAATTTCTATTGGGTTGTACTGTTCCAAGTGCCTGCTGGTTTATTATTTATATTCAGCTAATGAAAGTTGGCAGCTGATTTCCAGCACTGATCCAGAATTTTTCTGAAATACAAGCACTCATTTCAAAGAAATATTCCATGCCCACGGCTCACAGCTCCAAAACAGCCTCCCTGCACTCACCCAGCCCGTGTGGCTTCAGAAAGGAACATGGGACTGGCTCCATGTGGGGTTTCTGTAACCCCCTGGGGTTCCTGAGTAACCTCAGCAGAGGTTTATCTTGTCTGGTTTTTTAGTTTGTTTGTTATTCTTTAGGATTGTGTGAATATTGCTTGGAGCAATACAAAAGCAGGTGTTTGGTGCAGTAGCACAGCACTCTTCAGCTGATTAACAGTGTTAACACTGTGAAATGCCCTTGTACCAGGGCAAACTGCTGCACTTGAAACTGCTGTGAATAAGAAACTGTACCTGGGGAACCGACTGTCAATGAGTCTGGGTTTAATCTGAAGTACCCAAAGCCTTAATGGTGCATGAAAATCCTGTGGTTGAACTTGATGCCCCACACTTACCTCCCTTTGGGAATAACAGCACCACTACCAGCACCTTTGGGCTCATCCCATCTCCTGCCACAGCCATGTTTTGTCAGCCTGACCCCAGCCAGGCCCTTGGTGAAGCACATCCCAGCCTGGGAGCCTTTTACAGAAAATTCACAGAAAGTAAACACTGTGGCATGCTCTTAAAATGTCTGCACCATCAGGAAAGATGATCCCAAAGGCAGCTAAAGAGGCTGACTTGTCCTTGGGATTTCTGTGGTACTGTTGCAGTCAGCACTGAGCCCATGGTCAGCTGCTGGTGTGTGAGATCCAGGGCTGGCAGGTGTACCCACAGTGGCTTTGGACTGCCCAGGTACCTTGCCTTAGATCTTGTTACCAGTGATCCAGCCTCCCATTGGCCGTGTTTGATCAGGGAACACAACCCATGCAGGATTCAGTTGTATTTTACCTCACCCACCCAGGGGCAGATAAGGCACAGCCCAAACGCTGTGGGCGTGTTTTGCCAGAGCTCTCATTGCCTGCAGTGACAACATACTTACACTGTTCAGTCTCTCTTTCTTTTAGAATATGCAGCAATAAACTCCATGCTGGACCAGATCAACTCCTGCTTAGATCACCTGGAGGAGAAGAATGATTATCTGCACACCTGCCTGAAGGAACTGCTGGAGTCCAACCGCCAGGCCCGGCTGGAGTTCCAGCAGCAGAACGAGCAGCTGAACATGGGAGCTGATGGACAGGGCCCCCAGCCTTCTGCCTAGTGTCTGACCACAGACCCTCAGCTGGTGTTGCTGAGGGACTTTCACTGCTCACCAATTTAATGTAAAACTTGAATAGAAGAGGTGCCTCGTGCCTGTTACTTGTTCCTTCCCGTGGTTGTGTCCTGCCATTCACCTCCATGTTCTGTTTTCCTCTAGCTGTGAGAGGTGCAAAGCACATGGGTGGGTGTAGGAGAGCTGGTTCTTTCTGCTCCCTGGCACTCACTTGGTTAAAGCTGGTTGTAGGAAATCTGATGCCATGCAGGTAGTTTGCAAGCAGGCCCTCTTCACAAAGAGGAAAAATGATCTTTGCTCTCTTGTACTGTTAAATCCAAGCAAGGAGTATTATGGCTTTAGCCTCTTTCCTCAGAAAAAGCACAGTAGGCAGAGGCTGTCCTGACTCCAGGCTTGTCCCAACTCTAACTCCGGTGACAGCCTTGGGGAGGGAGGTGCTAGGCCAGCTCCTGCCTTGAAACTACAACTTGTCCCTTAGTCACATTAACTGTGATGTACCAAAAATTGGCACATGGTCCCAGACCACTGGATGCTTCCATTCCCTGCCAAGCAGATAAGACAAGCTACCAGGGTGATGTTTTTGCTGTTATTACTGGGAGCTGCCCAGCTTCTCTGGGTGCTGTTCCACACTCCAGGGTGGAGAGAGGCAGAGCAGCCTGGTTAGTCCCCACCACAGCATCAGCTACAGAGAGCAGAGACAGGGGCCTGCCTGCCCTGGGATGTGAGCAGAGCATTCCCTGGACATTCTGACAAGGCATGAGCTGTCTGGTCTAACTTGTGATCCTGTCAGGATGGCCTGGAGCCAGCACTTTGAAGCAAGTCTTACTGTTCTACTTATGTAAAGTTAAAGGAGTTTTTTTGGAAAGTTAAAGAGGTTATTTATAAGAAATTGTTTTATTAAAATCAGTTTGAAACAAAATATGTTCCTGAGAGTCTCCACTATGAGAACAACTAGATTAGGCCTTGTAGTAGTAACAAAGGACCAAGGTGCAGATTGTTGCCTAGCTTAGGACACAGTGCTTGTCCAAGAGTGTGTGTCTTTGAAAGGAAACTGTTCTGAGAAGCAAAACTGAGCATACAGCCTCCCAAGAGAGAAACTTCTCTGCCTGGAAAGGAAATGAGAGGGACTACAAAGAATTCTTAAGTCTGCATCCATCTACTCCATGAACTTTGTCCCCTGTGGAAATCACATTACCATCTTCTTTCAGGTTCAACAGTCCAAGCCTCAGTCTTTCCACATAATTGCTGTATCCCAACTGTACAAGTAATAACCAACACCATCCTGTATTAGACACGCTAAAGCCAGGCTTATTTATTCTTAAAATAAAAACAGCAGTAAAGTTGAAGGTTTTGCTCTATTAAAAGACTCAGAAAATAAACATTTCCAGCAAATATCATATGTAAAGGGCTCTCCTTTAAGGCCACTCTATCTGGGTTTGCGCCTAGAAGAGCGTCTGCACCCAGAGGTGAGACCAGCTGTCTCACCTTTGGCGAGGGAGGAAGGCTCTGCCTCCTGGCCTGCATCTGCTGCCTCATTCTGTCCTAACCCTCCTCCACTCCCTGGATCCTGGTGGTCATCTGTGCCTTCCCTTTGCCTGGCTGCGTTGGCTTCCTCCTCGTGTCCCAACAGCTCCCCTGTGGCGCGGCTCTCCTCGGGGAACACGCAGGCAGCACTAGTGGCAGTGGACTTGCTCTCTTCCTGTAGATTTTCTTCTACAACCATGATACCACACACATGGTCAGTCACACTGGCCAGGCTCTGGCCCTCTGCCCCAGAGGTGGCCAGCTCACCCTTACCCTCCAGAGACCTTGGAGTTTGTTCTTGCAGGGCTGACAGCTCTGTACCCTCCTTGTCTATCCCACGATCATCATTCATCTTCTTGCTGGTATGTGCTGTTGTAGCAAGAGGCTGTTTTGGATCATCCAGCAATTGGGAGCTGGAGCCCTGGGAATGCAAAGGAGCCTCGGGGTAGGCAGTTGTGGCACGATGCCTCGCTGCCTTGTATCTCTGCAAATACAAACAAACCAACGTGAGAGGGAAGCCCAGCTCAGCTCCTGTCACTGCAGCAAAGCAGCAGCTGGTCCAGGAACACCTGTACAAAAACAGTGGTGAGTGGCAGGGGCACGACTGGTCTCGGCAGCTCCTGGCCTGGCTGCTGAGGCTTTCAACAGAGAAAGGTCAGCTCCTGTGAGGAAAAGTGGTGATATTAAAAACTGAAGTCCTTCTCACATTACTTAATGCTGAGCGAGTGCATGGCAGACCTGTGGCTCCTGAGACAAAAATCATGTTCTGGCAACTGTTAATCTCAGTCAGACTCAGGACTTTGTAGATGTAACAGAGCAAGTGACAGCTCCTGCTTCAGCTACTGCCAGGACATGTACCCTGGGCACATGAGGCTCTGCACCACCCTCAGCTACAGGTGAGATTTAATGTTTATCAGCCAAAGCAAGACTTAAGTTGAAAGCTTAATATTTCTTCACTCTGTTGATACAATCTGCATAGTCAGTGGAACTGCTGACAGGAAGACTAAGATATCAAGAATATCTTGTTACAAGGCACTGAGGTTTTCCACAGAATAAAGGTAACATATCATCAGTAAAATTACTTATTTGCACTCGCTATCATGATGAACCAGTAGAGGTCTGTAAAGAGATTAAAATGGCTACTAGCCATGTTCTAGACCAGATTACAGGAAAACAGCAACTCTTACTAGCTAACACACAGCAGGAACCTGGTCTTCAACACCCAGAGCATGAGCTAAAAGAACAAACCAAAGCTCCCTCTTTTCCACAGCAGTTCCCTCCACAATCAACTCCCTTTCAGCTGTCTCCTAAAGGGCTCCTTGAACTGGCACAGGCCATTACACCTGACAGTTTAAGGAAACAATTTTGAGCCCAATGGCTTTTACCAGTCTGCAGTGTGGAATTACAGCCCATCAGACAGGCAGCTTTACACTGTAATTCAGTTTATCACTGCAGGCTTGTTCTTTCTCTGCCCTCAAACGGTGGGAAATGCACAATATCATATTGCATTGGAACTAAATCAGTTGAGTCAATGTTGTACCCAACCTAAAGCAGGTACAAGCATGCAAATTCATGTTCAGTGATGCTGTGAACTGCCCCAGCAGCAGACAATTCTTTGCTTTGAAATCTTCTGCTGAGCTACTCTGCTGAGAATACTCCAATATACAACAACAGTGACAAAGATTTAACTCAGACTGTGACAACCCTGAGGCACCCAGGCAGCCAAGAACAATAGTTATCTGGTTGCAGGTATTTAAGGTTAAACTCTTCTCATAAAAAATCCCTCCAGGTCACTCTGGCATCCATTTGAAGAGCATCTGATTTCAGCTCTAAGTGGGCCAAAAGAGTGACATAAGTGACTGCTGCTGCAGTTTCACTCTAAGCTGATCTAAAACAAGCCAGGAAAACTTCAAGACTTATTCCTTCACTCCTGAAATGACTAGCTGCAGGAGTGGGAGAGGATGAGCAACCATGAAGGAACAGCTGTGGTCTCCTGCCATCCCAAATTCACTGCTCTAAGTGCTGGCTTCTGCAGCACCCCACCTCTTGCTGGAGGCAGTGAGGGCTGACTAAGAATAATTTCTTCTGTCTGAAGACTAGAAGAAAAACATGAATTTTTGGGGGTTCAGGGATGGGTGTGCGTGTTTGGGTTTTTCTTAGGCACTATTTATTAAGCTTGTAGGAAAAACCAGCAGCTTTTGGGAGCAGAGTGTGGGTGCAGGCAGAGGACAAAGTTGTTGTGGGAGCCTCCCTCCTTGCCAAGGTCAGCAAATACTGCTCTCCCACACAGGCAGGGCCCAGGCAGTGGTCACAGGAGAGGGCAGAGACTGTGCAAGCCCTGTGTACCCTCCACAAGGTACTAATCCAGGCCCCTCACCCCCTGGCAAGTCAACAAGGACAGAACGATGGAGGCAGATTCCAGGCCAGCCCAGTAGGAAAAGCTTTAGATACAAAAGCAGCAAGGGGCAATAGGGCTTCTTTAGGTGGAGCCAGAAAAGCAAAGGAACAGCATCAGTTGGCAGAGCTTTGTGCTAAGGAGTTTCTAGGAAAGGGTAGCAGACAGACAGACAGACAGACTTCCTCTTGCAGGCTGACCCTGGGGACAAATGGACTCCCACAGCGTGTAGATTCCATCACATAAAGAGTCTGTAATGTTAAATTTCCAGACTTCTAAAGCTGAGTATCTGATTTTACCAGGCCTCTTCATGGATGAATCACACCCACAATTTTGGCTAAAGGAGCTGTTCCTGCAGTACCACAGGAGAAGATGCACCAGCTTTCTTTACAAGGAACAGCCTCTGTCCTTTGTTCTTACCCACCTTGACCCATCTGTCTCTGGTCTAACAGAAGAGGCCTAGACTGAACAACAGACTCCACAGGTTCAGCAAACAGAGCAGACACTCTGAGGAAGATTCCCAGCCAGAAACGGGCAACAAGATGACAGCAGCAGTAGCTGGGAAGCAGGACTGGACTAGTTTAAGATCTACAGGGGTGATGGGAGACACACACAGAGCACACCAGGAGAGAACTATGGCACAGTGGACACCAAGGATGATGGAAATGAGCCGGAGACAGGACAGCTAACGTGGTGGATTCGCTGGAGAGACACGCACGGGGGTAACAAATGCCAGGCCATGCAATCGCCAAAGGGTCTGACCTGAAAGTTCTCAAAATGCATCAGGGACTTGCAGTGTGCGAGCCGGGCAGCGGAGTCGCTATGGTAGAATTTGTGACACAGCCTGCAGAGGTAACCTGCGACGGGGACCAGAAAATCCAGGCCTGCGAAACGGGAGGGGAAGGGAAATCACAGATCACATTGAATGGAACTCAAATAATGAAAGCATGTTAAAAGGGCAAGGGGAGTGGGGGTAGAAAAGTGGAAAGCTTTGCTTCTGTTAATCGGGGATTTGCAAGATGACTTGCTGAATATCTCTTCTTACCATGGAATGGCTGTGGTTGATATTCAGAGAGAAATCTGGCTGCCAGAGCAAAGAAACTACACAGAGCATTAAGGGGGGAAAAAGGGAGAAAAGAATACAATGGAAAACTACAGAGAACATGTGATCCAATGTAATGGGATCAAACCAAGCAGAAGACAGCAGGCACGCAAGAGGAACACGCAGAGAACATTCACAGCATGAATCATTATTCCATCTGCCACACGATAGTGGAAGGTTACAGCGATATGGGAGATTGGTGTAAACAGAGCTCTCCTTGGGCACAAACCAGCCTCTGCAGAGCTGCCCTCCTCACAACACCAGCGAGGTCAGAGGTTTGAAGTCAGTCACTTACAGGGTGGGGACCAGACACAGCCATCCGGAGGCACCACTGCCCACCAGGGCAGCGGCACGGCTGAGGAACTGCTGGGTGCAGCGTGGGGGGTCTGAAGCAGAGGAAACATGCACAGTTTGGGCTCTAGCAGAGAGTTTGATACTGTCAGTGCTGCTCAGTATCTGTGCAAGCTGCATTTCTGTTGGAAAGCATTCCAATCAATATGCTTTCCGACTCCATCTTTCCAGAGCATCCCTCATTTGCTACCTACTTTCTTCAGTACTCCTGCCCTACTTGTTCCATGTCCTACCTTAGAAAAGTATCTGGCTCTCATCCTTTCTTCTTCAAAGCAAAAGGCAGCTGACAAACATCAATCACATCCTTATGTTTTATCACACAATAATAAAGCAACGTTTGGTCTCTTCTCCAGGCAGCAGTGACCTGCACCAGTCCAGTGCAGCTGCTGGAGCATCATGGCCCAAGAAGTCATTACATCAGTAGGTAGAGACCAGCCTCTCTTACAGAAACAGCATGTGGCCAGAGAAGGCTCTGTGGGCCTTTGTGCTTAACTCTGCTTGCTTACCATAGGCTGTGTCTGGACAATACTTCTCACTTCCTTCGTAATCCTCCAAAGACACTTCCTTCAGCCCAGTCTGGAAACCAAAAGAACATTAGTGCCTACTGTATCTGTGGCAATTCCATTCCTGGGCTCTTGCATTTTTCTGGTAAGCTCAGGAGCAAAACAAGAGGATTAGCATACCAGAGACAGAGTTGCACAGCACCTGGTCAGGGCCAGATGCAAACCCCAATGTCAGCAAGCCACTTCACTACAAGGGTTAAAAATCAGCCCTTGCACTCCAAGTCTGAAGTAGCTTAGCCATGTCCCTCCTTCTTGGTAACTGGGACAATATTTATCTAGATAAAGCTCCACACATATGTTTGCTATGAGACCCAGCTGCTGCTGGGCTATTCAAACAGACCATGTCAACGTCTGCTTGTGCTCCTCAGCAACAAGGTAATGTTTGAAGACAGCAGCAGGAGCACAGCAGAA